ATAAAACCCCATGCTATTTCAACCATGTGTGTCAATTTTTACCTGTCTACCTACATTATTCCGTGAATTATTGAATTTTCAAATGTTAAAGGGCTTTCGGATCATCATGTACGTAATTCAACAAATATATAGCTTTCCAAATTTTTGTTGAAAAAATATAAACATTACAGGCCTTGTTTTCTTTTAACAGGCATGCGCAGTAAACAAAAAGAGGGAAGTAGAAAACCTTTCCGGCACTTCAAAAGGTAAAAAAAAAATTAGCTGTTTAGTAGTCTATGATGTTAAAGAAAGGTTTTTGTTTGGGTCTTTTCAGTTCTTTTATAATGACAGACTATGTGCTTAGATTAAGTAAGAATTTAGCAATTTCATTGTGATATTAGTATTTTCTTAAGCACACATAAAAAAGTTTTGTTGTTATATGAGAATAAGTTCAGAACGCTCCACCCATGAGCAGTCTAGAAGAGAACTTTATATTCGAATCAGCAAATGAAAATACTCGCACCGCTTTATAAGGTTGCTGTAATAAATTTAATGAACTTTTAATTCGATTGATAAATTATAAAATTTCCTCAAAAAACAAAAGTTGTTGTTTAGAGATTTGATCAGTCTGCTGATACCACAACCAGGTAAAATTACATAAAATTGTTAAATCTAAATAAAAGGAAAAAAGTAAGTAGAACTATCCGTGGACATTTGATATTCTCCAAAATGATATAAAGTTCAGTTCAAAAGATTGTATGAATGTGCCATAGATGCAAAACGAGGATTTCTCAGTCTGTTTCAATCAAAACGAATAGTCAGCTAATATGCACTAGTAAAAGGATCTCTAACCCTAAAGGAATAGAATTTGCATTGAAAATTCCGAAGTACGTGTATTGAGGAATTATAATATATCCAAGCAGAAATACGAAAGCTCTTGGCTGACATAATAAGTCTGAATTTATCAACTTTCAAAAGAAAAGAAAACTTCTTCTTTTGAATAATCTTTCCGAAAATTTGTTGGTAAAATTTAATGCAAATTGGAATTTAAAACTAGTTCGTACTACGAAATATTTGAATTGGCTGTCCTTTTTAAGTAGAAAATGAACCTTTACATTGTCAATCCATTTTGATAAAAAAGCAGTCGAACTGGATTAAATTCTATATTTATTTATATTCTCATTTGTGGCCACAGTGCACTTGACACTCTAATCGTGCCTATTTACAGAACAATTTTGATATTATAGCGATAGAAGTGAACTTAGATGATTGCAGCAGCGTCTTAACAGGATGAAAGCATAAGCGAAAAGAAGAGAGTGTCCCAGTAGTAATGCAGAGGAAGGAGGGAGGGAGTCAAGAAGTTATGGTTTACTATTACTTTGATTGGGCAAGAGATATCTGCATTGAGCGTTATATAAGATCGCATGATAAATTTGAATGACGCAGTTTAGACTTACAGCGCTATTTTTTAAATAGAGGGGTGAAGTCCCCAAATTAAATAAAAAATAAAAGAGGTTATAGCCAATTAAATTTAGAAGTTTGTTTTGATATTTTTTATCTTACACACACACACACACATACATATATATAGTAAAAAGAAAATTCCTTCTTAAATAATTTAACAGTTATCCTTCAATATAAGTAAACTGCAATATCTGTTTTAACATAATTTAGTAGTTAATTTATTTTAGTACTCCGCAGTAGAATTTAGTAGTTATTTAGTATTCCGCAGCTTAGGTTATTTACTACTGCAAAGCATTTGAGGATTCTCATTCTTATGAGAGATATACTAAAGAAGGACTTTGTGAGTAAAACTGATTCATATTTCATAACATACATGAGGTAGAAAGAGTAAATAGAAAATTCCTCCTTAAATAATTTAACAGCTATCCTTCAATATAAGCAAACTTCAATATATGTTTTTAATATAATTTAGCAGTTATTTAGTACTCCGCAGCTTAGGTTATTTACCACTGCAAAGCATTTGAGGATTCTCGTTCTTATGAGAGATGTGCTAAAGAAGGACTTTGTGAGTAAAACTGAGTCATATTTCATAACATACACGAGGTAGAAGAAAACGCGGCTAGCTCTTTCTGTTGTTGAAACACAGCTCGTGTTTAGAGATCTTATTTATTCGAGCTATAATAATCTCTTCAAACTCGCAGAATGTGAAACGTGTATAAAGTAACTTTCATTTAAAATAAGTTTTACGGTTCTCAGTTAAAAACACGGCTAAGTAAATCGATATTTGTTTATGGTTTTTAAGTATAAAAACAAACAAAAAAGTAAACCTAAGTACAAATATATAACAAAAATTAAAAAAAATATTAAAACATTTACTGCTCTTAAAAAATAATTAGCTATTTTATCACCTTAAAAAGTGATACACTTTTACAAAAAACTGCAGTCCGAAACCTAGCTAAACTTTCTCAGGAACATTTCGGTAAAATCACTTTAAATAGGCTTAAGATAATACTCAAATACAAATCGACTATCTTCAATAGTTTTACAAAGCAAAACAGCCTCAGAAATCTAAGCGAACATAAGTCAGAAAGAGGAAGTAAAAAGCATTATCCTAAGAATAGATTTAGGATCTAGTTTCCTCAGATCTCTTCATGATTCTTGCTATATTCTTTACCTCCGGCCGACAAAGGTTTTTCGCATAATCATCACATTGCCTAAAGAGATTAAGCTTTCCGAGGCCTAATCCTGTTTGGGCTCACTAATGACCTGTGCAAACATCTTTCATAGCAAATAGGAAGAAGAAAAGAGGAAAAACAACGGTTAGAAAAGCTAATGTATCAGAAAGCTTAAAGCTCCAGAAATAAATGGAAAAACTAATTACAAAAGAATGCTTATGCTAGTTATGCGTAGTGTAATCAGTCAGTCACTAGGGAATTAATAACTTAACGACTGCTGAAAAAATTTAATCATTAGACCATACATATAAATATATACTGGAATAAGAATAAATTGTTCCTTTCTGTAGTCATTCAAAGATCATACGCAATTGCTTTGCACAGGTACATTTTAATCATTATAGTTAAAACGAAGTTTTCATCATTACGTAATTAATTAATCTTTTAGCCGATTCACTTTTGATAAGGTCACCTTCACATGAAACCTTTTCGTAATTTCTCGTTATCCAACTGAAATATATCTCGTTTTATTTCGCATTTTATTACAAATTTATAATTTTATATTAAACTTAAAAAACATTCTCTGCAGTCGTCTGTCTTGCACTATATGTATCTTAGGCATTTTGCAAAAAATTTGGGATTCATTTTTTTCTGCATTATACATATTTCGTATTTCAGAAGCCATAGCTTACCAAGGAATTTTATTAGTCTACAGTGAATTATGCTACTGTCCGCGTAAGTTACGCTTATTAATTATAATAGCAAAATATTTGGAAACTCTCGTCTGAGGAAGGAGTGCCTGCCTTCGTGGATGAATTTCTAGGGAAAACTACTCGCATACAAGTCAAAAACTACGAAAACACTCATGTACGCAACCCGTCCCAATACTGGAAGCACAGCAAGGAACGAAATCAATAGTCCACTAACAACATAATGACTAGTTACTTTTGAAACTAGATATTATGTCGCGGGACTGTTATTTTGAACTGTATCATCTGTATGAGGTTCAGAATGAAATAGTCTGCACTAATTATCGCACTTGAGTGGATTTAACTACTGGTTGCTGTTGCAATTCGGAAAATCTGCTAATAATTTTAAAGGTTACTGTGCTAATTAATTATTCCTTCATCAGCCAGAATTCTGAAATTTTCATCTGACAATACATGTCTTTCATGTGATCTTAAGGGAAGGATGTTAGAGATGACAAAAATCACCCAAATCAGTAATTTAGACTTTTCAGTTAATAAGACTTCTAAAATAAAAACATTTTAAAGCAAAAATATATTATGAAAGATGCGAATTTATTTGCTTCCAAAATTACATTTGTTCCTTCCTTTACTACCCTTTAGCATCTCAGTTAGAAAATGAGTCTTGACTATATCAGAATGTTAGAAACCAACACCCTGCACAAAATACGGCCACCATGTAGCTATACAGGTATATCATATTTTCTTTTTTTCAAAGCATATTTCTTTTCTTTTTTTTTATATTTTCGCTTTCTCTATCATCTCATTTAACCAACTGGAAATGTTTTTCTACGTAAACTTTTTTAAAAAATGTTTTGCAGCAAGCATGTTTGCATTTAATCCAAGTTTCTTTATAAAATTTGCTCAATGTTTTTTTTTTTTTTTCCTTGAAGTAAAGAGAAAACTTTTTGTCATTGTGTTCTGTTATTATAGCCAAGAGCATGTTACGATTAAAGCAGACAAAGGCGCTTTTTAAAGTTTTACGTATTATGGTACGGAACACTTTCAGTGAAGCAACTCAAAACTTTCCTGATTTAAAATTAATTAAAAAATTCATGATTTTTTAAAATATATCCGTAACTTTCACTTGCAGCATAAACACGATTCAGGCGGCTTTTCATGAGAAACGAACCTACAATGCACTTTGCCAATTAAATAACTAACTTGCACTATTTGTTAATCATAGCACTCATAATTAAGAAATTAAATATTATTACTCTAACTTCTTATGAATATACAATAAGATGTCGGAAACGTCCTAACATTAGCTTCAAAATTATAGATTTGAAAACTGGAACTTCGTTGTTTTACTCTTTTGTGGTATGCTGTGACATTTTTTAGTGAAGCATTTCAGTAATAAAAGGTATCAGTGTAAAGAAATATCTTCAAATCTAAGTAGAAGCAAATGTGAAAATAAGTAGGGCGATCAAACATGAACGAGCCTTTATTGGCTGAGCGTCAGGATGGGTATTTGTATGTGTTTAGGCAGTTGAAGACGTTATGTGGGATTGCCTAGAGTAAAGGAACCACACCAGCTGTCTTGTGTGCAATCCTAACACATCAGCAAATAAAACTTAAAATACGAATAAATCAGAAAATAAAAATCAGAAACTTAAAATAGGAAAATATTACTTACCCGACGCTCGGTCATTACGTAAAGGAATTCTTTATTTTTGTCAAACAACATATCCGGGCTAACAGATTTGCCTTCATCAATCTGTAGGTCGCTGTATTCAAACGCACTAGTCACTGATTCGACCACAGCCTGCAAGAGGAAACATGTACACGTGTTTACTAACATTGTAACAAATATTTTAAGAATTACGAAAAATACACTTTTAGCACATTAAATCTGTTTGCGTTTATTAACCAGTTATCACATTTTACCTTTACTGTCAGTTCTACTTTCGTTGGCTGCCACAAGGATGTAAATTAATTATGTATTAAGGTATAGCGTTTTTGAGTTCAAGAGAGAGTTTTCGGCTTGGTTCGTTACTAATTCTCGTGCAGTCTGTATTACTTGAGACGGCTTTAGCTTTGCTAGCCGTAAATGATCGTGGAAGTCGAAGGTTTAAGCCAAAGCTTGTAGGCGCGCTTTGTCTCGTAATTTTCATATTTTAATATTTAAATTGCATTTTAGTTTTGTTTCTATTATTTCCATAAGTTGGAGAGACAGTTTCTGTGATTACACAGATGGTTGTGTAACTGTTAGACTGACGATCTAATTAAAAGTTTTATTTTACACCTTCTTTTGTGTTGCAGTTACTTCACTTAGAGGTTAACTCGGGGAGAAAAGTCATCTCTCTGTTTTCACAGACTCAGAGATCAACTTTTAAAATATTTAGATTCTGTACAAATGTATCTAATCAAGCTTTTTTAAAATGATTATTTAAAAACATTGTTTTCAAGAAAGAGAAATAGCTATTGCATTAACTAAGAGTTTATTTTTGATAACAAGGTTATATTTACGTTAATCCCTTTCTGTATTTTTCATTTCTTCCATTAACATAATGCAAGTAATGCATGTAAAATAATGCTGAGTTTAACATAAGAAGCGAATATGTAACTGGAGAAAGAAAGAAAGCTGTGGCAGTCCTCCAGTAAGCTTTTTATCAATGTGACGCCCACCCATGACCAAACTGAGCTTTTGGTTAATGATTTTGTTTAGCGCAAAGAGCCGGAGATCATAGGAGCAGGAGAGGAGTTAATATGTTGCTGAAAGTTAACTTCTGTGTTAACCTTTTCCTACATTTTTAAAGTTGGAATTTTGATTAAAAAAAAGAGTAGGCAGTCTAAATAGGCCTAGAGGAGTACACGAGTAAAATTTTGTGAAGATAGCGCTTATCGTTTAATTCTGTGGGTGTGCCCAAAGTGGGCACCCTGACTGGATAGAGCTTCGAAAAGAGTGCTGAAACGAGCATTGTTGTCAATGAACTGACCGATGAGATGCGGAGAAACAAAGAATACAGACTCTCAGTTGTCCTAGATTATCGGTGAGCCCGCTCTGGGCACACCTAGGGTTCGCCGTTTGATTTTAAACAAGATTTCAAGGTAAAAATTTAAAACTAATATACAATAAGGAAATTAGCAACCAGCCAAAAAATAAATAGAAATTTCTTTTCAAACAATTTCTTTTATACCCTAAAAAAAATCTGGAAGATTTCTTTGAAAAATGAGGGTCTTAAAACTAAACATGGCTAAAATATATGGACTGGTTTGTGTTGAGCTGCCATCTACTATAAATAAAGAAGGTTCAGAGTAACCTATACATCTTTTTTTCATTCAATTTTTCTGTGCGTACAGAAGGAAATTTTTAGATGTGTCCAGACCGGACACACTGTGCCGCAAAGGGTTAACGTATTTAATATTTATTCTGTACTACGTATTTAAATTTCGGAGACTTGACTTGTTAATTGTAATTGTAGTGAGATAAGCCTTTGCTAAAACTTTCATTTAAGCTTACCCGATGTTTTGTTCGTGGTTTTGGGAGTTAACATTTCTATTAACTCCAAAGACAAAAATTCGTTTAAGTAAAGAAAAAAAAAGTTAAACAGGTGGTAGTTTAACAGCTAACTAGGCTTAACCTTACAAAATTTCCTTCTCTTTATTTCACTCTGAGAAACCAAACAAATAAAAGTATTTAAAAGAATGTACTGGGAATTAAGATACATTCTGAATTTCTCAATTATTCGCTTTTAAGTGTAAAGTTAAGAAAAGAAAGACTACACACGAAAATGCCGCGTAATTTCTTGAACTTGATGGAATACTGATGTAAAATAATCTTAATAGTAATAATGTAAAAGAGATCAAAACGCTACTGAAGATATTTTCTTCCGTTTATGACATAACGCTGGAGATAATTCTGATAATTTTCTGGTCAGTAGCGATAAATTGTGAATTTCTTTATCCCTTCCCCCCAAAAAAATTATATTAAATACCGAATCAGTGTTGAACATTTATGTTTCGGAGACCATTTTGATATGCAACGTACAAAGCTTCATCTGAATAAAGTTAACACCCATGACTTACAACTGCAGTTTATCTATACATCTCATACTAAGCTTCAGCTTGACGAAACAGATACAGTGAAATAGACCGAGAAGGATATGTTAACTATTATTTATCTCTATAATGATTTAATTTTATTCAACATAGAACAGCTGCTTGAAGGATATTTAATAATACTTGCATAACGTCGTTGTCATTTCTTTCAACATAAGCTTTTTCGTATTTTAAGATTTAAAACGAGCTTAAAAGATTTATAATATTTCGAAGATACGGTTTCGTTCAGAAATTCAATTGCACATTTAAACTTTCAGCGTATAAACGGGAAAACAGTATCAGATAAATACACCTTTGAACAACAGCTGCATTTGAATGCCGTGTGACAAGACGAACGTCAAGATTTCCGCCAACAACTGGTTCGTATTCACTGACAAAATTCCAGAGTTACAGAAAGCATATGCTACACATTTATGCGAAGTCACTCGGTTTAAGCGGAATGAGGGAATTGCGTTTGACGTGCATCGGACGGCGTAATATCCTCCTCATCAGTCATCCAAAATTGGACTCCGATTAACCGACGCCCGACTTGTGACGCGTGGCAGCTTTCCGCTGGAAGTGAAAACGGGCAGACATAACCGAATGGCCCTTAAAACTTTATTTGTTCCATAAATTTGCGAAGATAGCGCTCATGCTGGGATTCGCACTATGCTCTCATAGAATACCAAGTAGCGCAAGACTGGAGCGATGGGCAAAGATGCAGCAGCCATAAATAAATCCCAGGATATTCACGTGCCCTAGAGAAGTTAATGCCGATATATATTATCACAGTAATCCACCTAATGCAGGATTCTGAGGAAATGTAAGCGTACCAACATAAATTGCATCAAACAGCAGTTTAACACCTTTTATTTTTATCTCGCTACTAACATTTTCTTGACCATCGGAAAATGCTTGTATTCATTTAATGCTTTAAATCTTTCAAAAACGTGTGCCTTATGTTATAGAACATACGCTTTCCTAAGAAAGAGTCCAGAGTTTTTCGTACATGAATATATGGTCCAAAACTTAATTAATTTAATCACAAGGAACAGTTCTATTTTGCTTGCCACTGCCTCGTTTTACCATAAAATATTGATATTAAAAACATTCTTCCCGTATGCTATTTTGGCTCAGTGTCAGCGCAATTTAGCTCGGATTTTCATGATATAGGTTCATTTTCCAGTAACAGCATGGCCGACGTCTTACGGTCCTTCTCACAAAACAACCTAATGATTCTCGAACTGAAAGGTGGTAAACGTCTCCTCCTTGAACTGACCAACTAGGCATTCGCGTTAAAAAGTAGAGGGTTAGAAGAGATTAAGGAGCTTAGAGTTGTGGGTACGTGGGTGTGTTCCCATGTAATCTAGTGGTGTCGAAGCCAGCATATCCACGTAAGATCCCTTGGGTTCAATACCCAAAAAGACCACGGTTGAGTTTTCAAAATTCCTCCAAACGAAAAAGCTAATGACTAAAAATTTAAATTATACTTATAACTTTGTTTCCATCTTCGAGTGCTTAGTTCACCATCTCTGGAAATGAAACTGCGAACTCCATGAAATGTTGAATGATCAGCATCTAACAGATGAAATATTATAGTTTAGAATAGAGGTTTTCAACTCGTGGCCCGCTGAAGGCATTTTAGTGGACCCACATTTGAATCTGAAGAAAAATTGAAGAATTTTAAGAAATTTGGATTTTAAGAAAAATTGCCTTGTCAGCTTTTTGTAGTAAAATTTTTTTTTCTTATTCTTGATATTCAAAACATTTTATTGACATGCCTGATATTACTTGAGATAAAATTTTCTCAAAATGACGAATATTTCAAAGATTTCACTTTATCTTATGTAATTTTAAAAATACAAAATTTGACTACGCATAAAATCTCAATTCCATAAAAAGGGTAGACTCTTATCTCTAACAGGTTGGCAACAGATGTCAATCTTTCGTCAAAGGTTACCTTCAGCGTGACGTTCAAGGTGACGCATGAGTTTAGTGATGAAAAATGGTTGAGAGACTTTGCATTTCTTGTCGATATTACAGGTCATCTCAAGGGTTTGAACTACCACTTACTGGGAAAAGATCTACTTGTTCATAATCTTTATTGCTTTGTGAAACCTTTTGAGACAAAATTAATCCTGTGAGATAGTCAGTTGCTAAATAAGAATTCCACTCCCTTTCCAAAATTGACGGAATGTGTGAAGAACTCTACAACATAAAATTCAAATAATTATGTGCAATGCATTTCAAATTTGAAAGAGGAATTCGAAAGCAGAGGATTTTCGAGGTCTTGTTAATCACTCTTTCGGGGGGGGAGTGTATTTTCTCCCACCTTTCTGTATGCCTTCGCTGTGTAACGGTATCACACTTGGCGCGTATTCAAGATGTCCAGGTCCGAATCCCAGCGAAGGCACTGCACATTTTCTCAGAACTCCTGCTTCCAAATTAAGCTCCATCAGCGCTTATTCGAGAGGTCAAGGTTCGAGTCTCGGCAAGGGCATTGCTCAATTATCACGTCTGCAGCATCAAAATAACTTATTGACTCTACAGTATAAGCCACACATTGTTTTTCCAAAAAACAAACAAACAAAAAGCAGATGAAAATAGGCCTAGATATGCAAATGAATAGAAATAGGCACATACAAACATGTAGCAATAGAGCAGCGCGTATTTAACGATTGAGTATAAAATACATTGTTGTTTGGTAAATGTTACACAGATTGT